ATCATGAGACTGACAAATGTTAAAACACCTCAGGTTTGGTGTCGTCTTTGGTATGAAATACATGGCAGCCTTCTAGGTTGTTCTTCCATATTATATGTGTAGAGAGAGCTCATGTTGGAATAAATATAAACTGTAACACCTTGTTAAAAACATCTAAGAACTTCTTTAATACAGACAAGTCCTAGACTTCTTCCAGGCTTGTATACACTGTTTTTAAGGTATACCAACTAGAAGAGAACCTTTCTTTCCCCCTGCTGTTGGCCAGAAGTAGCAAAAGTTACACCTTGCACTGTCAGCCTCTCTTATCCATCATTAGTAAATTGGTCAGTTAATGATGATTGCATTTTATAGGACCCTTCTTTAATCTTTGCAAGACCAATTTGAGGTGTGCTGGCTAGAAATTAAGTTGAGATCTTTGAATACACATAGCAAATGAACAAAGATAAAACATTTAAGTGCTGCAAAAACTTTTAGAGAAAATGTACTGATTATTTAATGCTACACAGCTTGTTTCCATTTTATTTACTCATGTGGTTTGTTAGGTCCTATCTGTAGTTGATGTGTTTCATAAAGATCTACTGAAGAATGCTACTTGTAAATTAAAGCCAAAAGAAAAGATTTTTTTGATGAAATTTTTCTGATTCTCTTAAAAAATGCATTTCATCTGTATCTGTCCAGTGAGACAAATGAGTGTCATTTCTCTGTCCTATGATGTGAACTTTCATAAGCGTTAGTGTTTTGTCACAAAACAGATGATAGTTCAAGAATTACATTTATGGGGAAGAAAAAAATAGTTAGAAATGGAACAATTTAAACATCTGATAGTCACCAAGTTAGTGACTGCTAACTGTTAGTCTGCTATAGTTGCTACCTTTTTCTGTCAGGAGCCTCTAAAATAATAAATTTGTAATGTTAAAGCATTTAAAAATAATGAACTGAAACTTTAATTGAAAGTACCACTGTAATTCCAGTAATATGTTTTAGGGTTTCTTTTTTTCTGGAGAAAGTTGGGCAGTCCTCCTTGTCTGTGTGCTAAACTCTTAACTGTAAAGATGGGAGAAGGGGAGCCTTTTAAAATTGGCTGGGGATGATGAGAGAACTTTCTTAGAAAACAATTGGCTGAGCTCAAAAGCTTAGAAGCAACTGTGGGGTGTGTTTTGGCTTGTCATCCCGTATTCCTTTTGCCTGAAGAGTCGTCAGACATGAGCCAGAGGAGTTTTTTTAAAAGCAGCCGGCTACTTCAGTAGTTTGTCAGATAAATCCTTAAGAGCTGAAATAGTATCAGTTACAAGGTTTGAATCTGCTTCCCAATTAAACAGCTTTTTTCTTTTGGTATGTTTCTAACTACAAATTGAATAGCACTGATCAGGAAAACTAAAGTTGTCTCAATAGGATTGTGCTTTAGGGTTTCATTTGGGGTTTTTTAATAAGATTTTTTAAAATTTCAGTCACATCTTAAAATACACTTTACAGTAATTCAGCTTGTCCTTTGATCATATTATGAAGGAAAGTGACGACATGGCACAGATTTAGCAGCCATCTTCCAAATGTCTTTGTGAGGACTTTGGCAAGCAGTAAATAAAGGGCTAATCATGACTAACTGGAAAAAGATTCCATTGTGCTTTTATAATGGTGAAAATACTTCAGCTGTTGGGAACATGGTAAGACTTGGGGAGAAGGAAGTGCTAACCTGAGAGGAAAGAAAAGCGGCGTAGACTGTACGAGAGGCTTATGGAAAGTGAATGAGTGGTCACTTGGAAAAATTGTTTATTATGGACACTAAAAGTGTTCTTCCTCTGTGCACATACACGCACACCCCGTCCTGGATGACAATAAAATTAGTCAGTATCTAAAGAGCAGATTGTTCCTTTAACTCTTGAAGGGGAGGAGAGGCAGGAAGAAGGCAAGGGGAAGGATAAGTGAACTTGAGCCCTGCTGAATTAGTGGAGGAGGAACAGTGGTATAAACATAAAGGTGTGCTAGTTGAGGCGTGCCATGAATGGGAGAGTTAACAGACAGAGCTCTTGGCACATCAGCAGAGGGATTTTTAGAGAGAAGACACACCTAGAGTTCCTCTTTTATGAGTACATGAATGCATCGTGATCATCCATCTGTATACTTAGGGGAAATAGGATTATACAACATCCTAGAGCAAAGTACTTCATTGCCATTTTTTCATAGCTTTTGCAGTTACCTTTTAACTTTGTGAATTTACACTTTTTAGTATTTGCAAAAGAGTACTCTCGGGCTTTGAAAATTGTCAAAAACTTGAAATACTAAACACAAAAAACTGGCAGTGTGACTTTTAAAATGTATTTGAACACTTGTAGTGAGTTTTCTAAGTTTCAAAGTATGTAACTGTATCACATGTTCTGTAACTGTGAGTTGATGTGCCCTGTAGAGATCAATGTCTAGAAACAGCTCATGAGGTCAGTAGTGCCCAGTACCACGGCTCCTGTCCTGAGTGAACACCGTAACAGATGGAGCCCGAAGTAGACACCATGAACTCTTGTGAGCACTTCGTGGACATTTATGTACATTTTACAGACATTTTATGGGGCATGGGGTAGTTACTGAGGATGTGTTGTGATAGTGCGGGACCTGAGCATGACATAAATGGTATGCAGTAAGCTGTGGAGAATGTGCTGGGTTTGGCTAGGATGGAGTTAAATTCTTTATAGCAGCTTATATGGGCATAGGTTTTGGATTTATGCTGAAAGTGGTATTGATGACACACTGGTGTTTTAGATACTGCTTGAGATGCTGTGCAGATTCTAGTTGTCAGAACTTTAAATCACTGCAGTCCCATTAGTTTGTCATTAACACACATTTCGTTGGGAAGTGTCTCTTACTGTATAGCTGGCTGTACAACAGGGAGGGGATTGGAGCATAGAGCTTTAGGTGTGCCCTTCATGGGATGAGCAAGCATCCTGTAGCTCATAATCTCACATGAATGAAAACCCTGCATGCATATGCGCTGTTGCCACATTTGAATTCCTGTCATTTGGCCATGTGATTGGTTTTTGATCATGTGAGGAAAAAGCCTGCAAAATCCCTGGGAAAGCAAGGGACAGAAAAGTGCGATTTGGAACCACACCCAGATTCTAAAGAAGGTGTAGGAGAAAGTGAACCATGAGCCAGATAAGCTGCTCTGGTATGTCAGTTCATTGGCTTCAGATTGGACATACTTAAGGAATCAAATGAAAATAATGTTTCAGAAACAATTTGGTGAATTTCTTGGTTGGTTGGTTTGTTTGTTTTAAGTATTAGATAAAATTTATTATGTAGTTTGCATGGTAGTGCTCTTTTTTTTTTCTTTTTCTTTTTTTTTAATGTTTAACTCTTACGTGATTTGGACTCCAAGCTGCTATAAAAGTTGTATGAGGAAGTTTAGGGCATTTTTAAACAGATTTTTAAAAAAATCTTAAACCCAAAATCTATATGCGCTATTCTAGTCCTTTAATGAATGTCTTGTCAGTTTGATACACAAAACTGTGCCTATGAGATACTAGTTTCTTAGAAGTAAATTTGTCAGTGATTGTGACTGGCAAGTCAGCCCATCGTTTTCATCAACAGATAACAGTTTATAGCTTTCATAAATCAGTTCTTAATGAACTGTATGAAACTTCTACTAAAAAAAGTTAGCATTTAATTAGTCTCATTCTTTCTAAAAGCTGTTGGATATAAATCCAGTTTAAAGAATTTATCTAGAGCATCATTCACATTTCCTAAGTGATGGCCATTTGAATAGGTTGCAGTATTGTAATGGTAAATACTTGTTGGTAAGTGGCAGCAAATTTAATATTGAAAGCCTTATTTAATTGTGTGGTTGCAATTACTGAGAATTGGAGTTTTCTTGGAATATAAGAAATATAAACAGTGAAGAACTTCAGTTAAAACTTTAATTCTAGGTTTCTATTACTTAAATCTCCCCATGCTGCAAACAAGTTTGAGTCTTACTTTCATGGTTGGTTTTTTTTCCTGTTAAATACAAACTACTTACTTTTACACTACAAACCCATGTAAAAACGCCTTCCATGTCTACATGTTGCTTGCCATTCCTTTCTAGGATGTTCTGAACAAAAAATATTAAGAAATATAAAGGAAAAGCTTGATCTTCATTGTGAAATTCCTGCATTTGCTCACATGCCCTGGTTTATTAAGTTTAGTCTCCTGTGTGTTGGGGACGAATATATTTTTGTAAATCACAAGCTACTCTTGATTAATAACTGAAAAACTGAGGAAATATTGCAAGATTATCTTCAATGCCACCTGTAAGAAAGATTATTTTTTTAAAAGCCATCTTTTCCATACAGAACCTTAAAATAAATCTTATCTTGTCTGGTCTCGAATTACAGCTGCTCAGGGGTTTTTTCCCTGGTTTCGGTGGAGGCTCCTATCTTTTGGTTCAAGGCTTATGCTAAAATCTCAACCAATCATCTAGTCCCAGACAGTGGAGCTAAGCCGGAGTCTTTTGCTACGGCAGGAATAGAAGAGTCAAGGTCATTGCTAGAGTATTACTCCCTTTCCTCTCTGAACACTGCAGAATGGTAACTCCACCATACGATGTTATCACAGTGTAAGTCCTTGACACTGTTACCCTCATGGCCGGGAAGCTAGTGTGCACTGTCAGAATTGGGTTCAGTAGTATAGCCATAAAGGGTTACATATTGACATTTAGAAATACAACTCTTCCTAGTGAATCAAAAGAGCATGCACTCGTATGTTAAGTAATTCTGCAGCTCAGCTGTTGTTTACAGTTTGGTAGCTATGTATAACTAGTACAGCCAGATCAGGGAGTAATGCCTATTGGAAACAAATGTGTGCCATTAGGTTAACGTAATCTTCTTTCTTCAACCCTTTAGCTAGCTTATTAGTTTTTAAAAATGCTATGTGGTGAACTGTTGCAGGTTCACAGTGCGAATTTTTGAGCCTGATATGTTGTGCTTGTCTGCCCCTCAAGATGCATTTTTATGATCTGTATTTGTGTATTGATTTCTAGGTTTCTTTACTCAGATGAAGTTCAAATTGGTCCAGAAACAGTCATGACTACTTTATACACTGCTAAAAAGTATGCAGTCCCAGCCCTGGAAGCACATTGTGTGGATTTCCTAACAAAGCACCTCCGAGCAGATAATGCCTTTATGCTGCTTACTCAAGTAGGTAAATTTAAGCTTAGTTTTGATTTACTAGGAAGATCTGTGTTTGGAGGGGAGTTACTAAATATTACTTCACAGTGGGTTTGCCATCACATAGTCTAATTTATGTTTGAAAATGTCTTGTTGCTCTTTTAGGATTTTTACAGATTCAGCTGTGGAGCAAAGGCGATGTTTTATTTCTTTATTTTTAAAATATGTGGTGGACTGGGACATTTCAAATGGAGCCAGTATTTTCTATAGTGTATTAGCATGAATCTCTTAATTGCTGGGTTTTTTTCAGTTCACTATAGTGGATTTGATGTATATTTTTTTTCGTTATATTGCCAAAACTACAAACATAAGCTTGAAGGAAAACTTGTATGTAGTGAATTCTCCTTAATTATGTACTCCTTTGAGAATTTTAAGTGTTCTTTAAGGTATAAATACAAAGAATACCTAGACAAATCAACCATTTTTAATTTAGATCTATACTAGAGTAAAAGTGCTTGCTTTTTAAGATTAGTGGTTTGTCATCTTTATGCTTAAGATGTATTCCTTCACCTTTTTAGGCTCGTTTGTTTGATGAACCTCAACTTGCTAGTCTGTGTCTTGACACAATAGACAAAAGTACTATGGATGCAATAAGTGCAGAAGGCTTTACTGATATTGATATAGGTAAGATACTTTGTGAGTCCTAAGAATTAAACTTGTGAAGGGAATTGCAGGGTGTGACAAGACTTTGTTACAGTGACACAGGATAGTTCACCTTCCCTGTCTGAGTATTTAGGATCCCAAGCACATCTTATCTACTTGTCACGGTAACGTGGGGTAGTTCACCTCCCCCCTCATCTGCACCCACTTGTGCATGGGTGCCAGCGTGATGGCATTTTTGCATACCTGTTATTCGTAAAATGTCAGAACAAGTAAGACATACAGGAAAGCTTGTTTTTGTAAAACACATGAGAGTACCTTGCCTCATATCCTGTGTTCCACCTTCAAGCTTTGTGGGTGGCAAATACGTCAATGTTTAAGATCACTTTCAGGCATCTTTAAACTGGTTTTGTGTGAACTACTGCTGCTTGTGTCTATTGTTGATCCAGATTGGCAGGTGTCTACTTGGATGAAAATATGACAATGTCATCATGAATAACTTGGTTTTTTTAGTAGTGTGCATTCACTGCTTGGTCACTTTCAGTTTTGATCTTCCCCTAGCCATGGAAATTCTTTAGTATATTGGTTGTCACTTCATAGCAGGAAATTTATTCTTTAGTTTGGAGTCTGTACACCACTGGGAGGTTTCCTTGTAAGTAAGATAAGTTGTTTTATCTTTGATGTCTTATTATGAATGTTCTTTGTGTTTACTTGCCTAACATTTTAAGCTCACTTAATGTGTAGCAGTGTTACTTGTTTGGATGAAAACTGATCTAAATCTGCTAACATTTTTTTCTTTAGACACATTATGTGCAGTTCTAGAAAGAGATACACTTAGTATTCGAGAAAGTAGACTCTTCGGAGCTGTGGTTCGGTGGGCAGAAGCAGAATGTCAAAGACAACAACTACCTGTGACATTTGGAAACAAACAAAAAGTCCTTGGAAGAGCTCTTTCCTTAATCCGTTTTCCATTAATGACTATTGAAGAGTTTGCAGCAGGTGAGTTTTGGGGTTTTTTGTCTTAATAATGTATGTTAGATGTTTAGATGATTAACATTCTACTTTGTTTGTTAATGTCATACTAAGAAGTTGTGATGCACAAATGAAAGCAAAAACATTCTGCATAATTCACTCTGGCTGTTGAAAAATATTATTGTCATCTTCAGTTTGTTGAATATGTGTGGTTTAAACGTTGGAGTAATTCTTCAAATCATATTAAAGTTTTTTTTCTTTTCACAGGCCCTGCTCAGTCTGGAATCTTGTCAGATCGGGAAGTAGTAAATCTCTTTCTGCATTTTACTGTCAATCCTAAACCTAAAGTAGGTTATATTGACCGACCGAGATGTTGCCTTAGAGGGAAAGAATGCAGCATTAACAGGTTCCAGCAAGTGGAGAGTCGCTGGGGCTACAGTGGAACAAGTGATCGGATTAGGTATGGCTCTTGAAACTATTTAGAGGAGAGAGAAAGAAGTGTGGGAAGAAAGGAAATATATTACTCAACTTTGACTTTTTTGCATAAGATAGAGTAACAAACATGATGGTTCTGTTTAGGCATGTTTGATCTTCTCCTTTTTTTAAAATAACTTAGGCTGTTGTGCACATAAAATACAAAGTAACAAATAACACATCAGGAGGACAGGGTGCACTCTAGAGTGATTGGGTATTAGCTGCATATTCCTTTTTAAAATACCAAGTCTTGATCTGTTTAAGTTGGAGCTATTCAAAAGAATCTTACTATTTTTTGTTTACTGATACTGACTATCTTGGTTGATTAGCAAAGCTTTAACCTATAAAGCTGATACCTTACAAAGCATTTTTCTTATTATTGAAATCTAAATAGAAAGTGTTACTGGAAAAAAAATAATGTAATGTCATTTTCAGTTTATTTTCCTACTCTTCAGTGGGAGTCTTTTTCCTGCTTGACAGGGAATAAGGCAACACACCTGCCACAGTTGTGTAAATTCCTTTCTTGCCCTGTGTCTTTCTAGGTTCACAGTTAATAGAAGAATTTCCATAGTGGGATTTGGATTATATGGATCTATTCATGGACCCACAGACTATCAAGTTAATATACAGGTAAAGTATATTCTGTTCAACAGGCTTATGCAGAAACTACACTTGTAGTGCTTGATAAAGGTTTGGTGTGTATTTGAATTTAGTAGGAGCAATCTGATAGGCCAGGACTGTGATATGTGTTTTGTTCCCAACAGCGATCATAAGAGATGACATGGGGAAAGTAAAAACAACATTAAACTCTTCTCTCTTTCTGCTGTATTCTCCTGTCCTTCAATCATTTTCATGTGGGAGCATTGACTCTAAGTATATCATGGACACTGTTACATAGGTTTTTCCATTATGAAATTTTGAATCTGATCCTGCTCATCACACAGTACCAAATCAGGGGTTGTGTTTCTTCCTACTGAGCAATTGGTTAGCAAGCTCACGAAATGGTCAGTGATAGCATCTAAAAATGTCACCCCTGCTTTGTGTCCTGATATGACATTTGCCCAGTCTGAGCGGGTAATTGAACACACCACTAAAATTGTATTTCCTGCTCTTGTAGCCTGTTTGATCTCTCTTAGCATGCTGTGGTCAGGATTATCTTCTAGTCATATTGCTCCAGCACTGTGTTTTTTCCTTTTGATGTATGGAATTTCAGTAATTTTAAATCCTTCTCTTATTGAGATGAGTTTTGGTTTGATTCTAAGCTTTCTAACAAGGTATTAGCATTCCATGCCTGGCACAGTTTTACTCTGTGTTGTGTATTTTGTAACCTGGTACTATCTCATCACATGGACTTATTAGATATGTGCGAAATTTTGTGAAAGAGAGAATCTGTGACTCCTTTTAGTGACAGTAATTCCACTGTCCCTATCTTATTTCATAGACTTCTAGGATGTGCTGGAACTGCTGTTTCAGTTAATTTCTAGGCATCTTATTTAACCAACAGTTTATTTGTCTTCTGTTTTCTATTTGATGATTAGTATTTTCTGACCAACCTGTACTTAAGAATAGGAATTTTCTTTTTGCCTCTTAAGAAAAAAAATTGTCTTTCCTCTTATGATGTTCCAAAGAGGAATGTATCTGGAATGGGGTTTCGAAGAAATTTGGTGGCTTTTCCACATTCCTCAGTTTAAAAGCTCATTTGTAAATTCCTCAACTTAAAGTTCCATCAGTTTGGTTTTCTCAAACTTATCTTCATCTTTTCGTCTACGTGAACGAGTAGCACAGTGCACTAGATTGCATCTTTACAACAGAAGAGTTGGTACCAAACACCCAGCAGCTGACTTGCACAGATTTAGGGATTTCTACTTTGCATTAACTCTTGTTTCATCTTCTCTGCTAAACTCCTGTTGGCAGAAGAGAGCATTTGGTGTGCTCCCCTAGCGTGTCTGCTGGATTTATTTAATCTGAAAAAGATTTAGTTTTTGCAAGGTAAGCTAAAGCATATTAAGTGAAAATGATCAAGAGATTCACTTGAAAAACATGCTCTGGATCCAAACTGGAAGGCTAATGTATCTTTATGGTTCAGGTGGAGGTCATCTCATACAGATTCTCTTTATCCTGGAAGTATCTGCAATTCCTTATGAATCTGAAACTTCTGTGTCACAATCTTGGACCTGCATCAGTACTAGCAAGAGATTCAGGGAGTTGAATGTTGAATACTTGTCTTAAAATAGTGATAATGTATATTGCAAATAAGTCTTTTATGTGAAAGAGGCTTAGGAGTTCAGCATTATAACTGTTAATAGTTTTATTGATTGTGGAAAAAAAATAGAGCCTATTTTGCCTACAATAGGGCTTCATCTAATTTGTGCAATATTAAAAAATGTATGGCAATTTAGTAATAAAGTATTAAAATTGATAGGATTCTTATTATTAGTGCAGCTGTGATATCCAACTTCTGCAATAGGTGTTAGGCAGCATGGATCAGAATTGCTATGCAAAATGAGAACTGAGGTATCTGCTGTTACTACATCCTAGCTTCTTGTTCCTATCACCCCTAAAATTGAAGGCAAAAGAAATAATATGTAGTCTGAGTATAATTTTTATAATGAATCTAGAATAGAAATAAATTGTATAAAGTGCAAGTTACTGTTTTCTTTTAAGAATGTATCATTGACTGCTTACATTATCTGTAAAAACTTACTTTGTTAATAAGCCACAGCCTGCGAATGTGCTTCCCTCATGTGGTGGTGTAGGTGTACAAAGATCAGCAGATCTGAGTACAGGGATATATGTAGCATGTGAAGGTCAGAAGCTGAAGGTCTAAGTTAGTCTTCATCTTCCAAGCAAAGTTGGAGCTGTGTTGAACCTAACCCACAGACTGAACAGCCTGTGTGAAACTCACAACCCTTCCTTTGGTACGCAGCTGGGTCAGCCCTCACGGTATCGGGAAACTGCACCTACTTTCCAGTTCCGACATTGCGCTATCCTTGCAATTAAACTGGGTGGAGTAGGCAAGCATTTGCTTGTAATATTCAAATATGTATACAGGAAGAATCTTTCTCAAGCTTGTAAATCCAAAAATACTATTTTCATGTTTTTATACAGATAATTGATTATGAGAAGAATCAGACATTAGGACAAAACGATACTGGATTTAGTTGTGATGGAACGGCCAGTACATTCAGAGTTATGTTCAAAGAACCTATAGAGATCTTGCCAACCGTTTGCTACACAGCTTGTGCAACGCTGAAAGTAAGAAAAGAACACTTAATAGTAGAGAAGAAAAAGTTAATTTGAAGCAAGAGTTATTATTTGATCTGTCTTTTGATGGGGAAAATGTCTTCTGATGGGGAAAATGTCTTTAGGTCTAGATTTATTTTAAGTTTAATGCTAAGGAAGGCTTTTAAGACTGCTGTCTCTCTTCTGTGCCACAGCACAAAATTCATAATTGGATCCTTTGTGGCTTCCCACTTTCTGGCTCGATGTAAGAGTTAGAATGAGTCCTAATGGAAGTCGCTGGTTCTGTGTGGGCAAAAGCACTATCTAGAATATTTAATCTGACAGCTCTCTATCAAAATGTGTTTGATTTCTTTTATCAAGGATATTCTAACCATTAGCTAGAGTCAAGAAAACTGAAAGCTTAATTGCTTTTTATACCCTAGTGCAAAAATACAGGAGTTACTTGTTCAACGAGAGTCTCCTCTTAATGTTATGGACAAATTTATTTATTTAATATTTTCTCAAAAATCTTTTAATATTTAAAAAAATATAATTCCCAGTACAGCAATCAAAGTTGAGTGGGTTGGAAAAATATGTTGCACATTAAAAGAAGCTGAGGCAGGGAATTGAGTACATAGACAACTTTTATGACAAAGAGAAATACTAGAAAATATATTTATTCATTACTAGTTGGATAAAATTAAGTGGTTTAAGTCTGTTGTCAGATAAACTTTTTATTATTATGTAAACATAGGACATTTGCTTCTGTTGTCCTGTCTGTTGTTGTGATTTTGTATGTAAGTTACATGACATGGGTGTGGAGACTTTATACTATAAAATAAATGGGTTATTTTTTATTATTTATCTATGTCAGTAGTGTTTGAACTTTACCTTTTATGGGTCTCACTGCACATTTTAATTCAGTTGCTAACCTCTTCTGACGTTTTTCAGGGTCCTGATTCCCACTATGGAACCAAAGGTTTGAAGAAAGTGATCCATGAGTCTCCTACTGCTAGCAAAACGTGCTTTGTATTCTATAGTTCACCAGGTAACAACAATGGTACATCAATAGAAGATGGACAGATACCAGAAATAATATTTTATACGTAGTTTCACATGATCTTGTCAAATGTGTCAGTGTAGCAGTGGACCTCAGCTCACTATTGGCAGCAGTGAAAAAATTCTGTGAAATTACATGAATGTGTGGAAACACAACTAACTTGCTTGTGAGGTACCAGAAAAGCCATTTTCTCTGCATCGTTGTTGGCAGAATGTAATTAGTTTTTCCTCTTAACAAAACGTCAAGTGGAATAAGTATTCTGTATAATGAAAAGATTGATTTAATTAGTATCTTGTAATGAATTGCTTTGTATTTTCACCCCTTCATTTCTCATGTAGTAAAACTCATTTTTTGAACTGGAAAACCCTTACTTATTTTGAACTTACTGTGTACGTTTTCCCCAACCTGTCCGAAAAAGACAATAAAGCTGCTGCTGTAGTCCCAGCTTACACTTCTTTCTTAGAATGACCCTATGGACTTGAATTACTACTGTATATTGTTGAAGTACATCACCAGAACTAGACTCATATGGCTGTCATCTTGACTTTTTGGATAAACCGTGGAGAATTGATGGACTTAGCGCTGCAGGCAGCACCTGCACTGAAGAAATACTAAGACAACCTCAGCAATAAACAGGTCTTTCAAGAATCTCTCAATTCAAAAGGGCTGTTTTGGAACATGGAGCTGGATATGGAAATAGCCACTGTATATATGTATGTGCCTATAAGAAAATGTATAATGTGAACATGAAATTTCAAGATTTGTAATGTTATTTTATCACTGGATAATATAATACGAAAAATGGGATGAAGTAAGGATTATTTCTGTGCAGCCAGTTTTGCAGGTTGCACATGCTACTGTGATGCAGTTGATATCTGTATATAGCACTCGCTGTCCTGCAGCCCCTGGTGTATAGTTATACAGATAAGCAGTACAGCTTTGTGTACAGACTCCTGTACCCTCCCACCAGTTATACTAAAGTAATAATTTCAGCTCACAGAAAACCAAACACCTCTTTATTTCACGTCTGCGGGGCCGGGGGTGTGTGCGCCTGCGCGGGCGGCCGTGGCGCAGTCGAGGCGAGGGGAGGAGCTGGCCGGGGGTGCTGGAATGGTTGCGCGGCGCTATGCTGGCCCTCGTCGGCTTCCGTCGGCTGCTGGCGGCGCCGGTGCGGAGCGGCGGTGGGGCCATGCCGCGAAAGGTG